TCAGAAAGCCAGGGAGACATATGTTGTTCTATACATTTTTTAGAGTGAATATAAATTCAGTTTAAATAGATAAAACACTTTACTTATTCCAGAGGCAACTAATATGTTTGTCCTTTGTATTACCCAGTTTTCTTTTAAGAGATGTTAAAGATAGTGATAGCTTGGGGCAGGACAGACATAGCTACCATTCTGTGTTTTTGTGTATATGCTTGATAATAACAGCATGATTAAAATAAGGCCTGTTCTGTTCAACTTGTGGAGAATTAAAAAGAGAGATTTACCAGAGTTCTACAGCACTGCTCTAGTACAGATTAGATTATACAATTTAATTTAATTTCAACATAAATTAAATATTTCCTGAAGGCTTGAATAAAAACAAAAAACAAAACAGGAATAATAGATGAATGAGTTAAGGAAAGCGCTGTGTTTACACCTTGAAGCTTTCTCTCTCCCATACTTTTCCTCTGAAGTGATCACTCGGGACAAGCTCTCTAAATAACACCTCATACTATATTTGTATTAAATAACCATGAAATATTGACAACTGATTTTGACAGAAATTGTAATCTTACTTAAATCAAAGACTTTTTTTGGGTTACAGAAGGCAGCTCTTACCAAACAGGTTCACATCTCGTTGCAGTGGCCCTGAATCACATTTAAAGATGCATTTTATACAACTCAAGTATGCCACATCCTTACATTATACACGTATGTAAATGAGGACAATCCTTCACTCCAGCCAAATCAAAATATTACATTGTCCCAGGGAAAAACACAGAGAACTCACTGTGTTCGTTAAGAAAAATCCTCTCTGTCTTTTCCCCCATTCCCAAATCTCTTTTATGTACATAATTAAGATGATAACTGTATATCCTGACAGAGGAACTATCTTAATTAGATAAACTGCTTGGGAAAACATTAGTTATAACACAACAGGCAGGTATAATTAGGGTTTAACAGACTCACAAATCATAATCCTAACAAATGAAAAAAAAAAATGGAGCTTGAAGTTCTCACTAATTGTGAGGCTATTTTATTTGGGATTTTCAACAACACTGATATGTTCTGCAGGAGGGAGTCTGTCCGTGCTTCCGATTTATTAGGACAAACAGGAAGGCAGACAATCATGGCCTCTCTTAGAAATTTCATTGATAAACCTGCCAAAACAACATTAGGGTTTTAGTAATGGAGACCTGACCTTAAGGAAACAAAAAAAATGATTATATATATTACTAGATTATATATATAGTATATATATATATAAAAGAATATATAATTGTACTCACTTTGTGATGTCACTAGTTTTCCGAGGAAACCGTGGAGTTTGGGCCCATGGTGCAGGTGTCTGGGGAAGCATCCATCCATATTGCTGGTTTTCTGTCAGAGGCATTCTGTACAGCTGGTTGGGAGCTAGGGGCAGAGTAGGCTTGAGTCGTTGTTGCAACATCATTTCTCAAGGACTGTGTAATGAGTCTGCTTACATGTGATTGTTTTAGCCCGTCTGACCAGTTCTTTATATTGTATACAGCTCCTGTGATGATCGTCAGCGCTGTAGCAAGGAGGCTGGAGTAAATTTTTGTATATGTCTTCATGTCCAAGGGATCCCTGTTGTTCTCGGAACGTTGGGGATAATCCTCCTGTAGTGTTTGTGCAGCCATCATCTGAGATCAGATATTTTACAGCAGATTGAGCTAATCATCATGGTCAGTTGTTGAAGTATTCAAAGCACTTTTACATTTTATTTTGTTAGATTCAACAGCTTTAATGCATCTTATTGGGATTCCTATAAGGTGGATCAATGTAAAGCACAGGAGAATTCTACAATACAGTGGAAGGAGAACCAGGTTTACTCCAAAGTACCTAAATAAAATTCTGTGAAATTAACAAAGTAATAGAAACACCTGCACTTTAATTTATGGCAATAAGAAAGCTGTTCTGTAAAGGATGCTGACGTTTTAGAGAGCAGCAGCGAACAACAAGCATCCAAAGACCAAATAACACAACAGACAGTCCAGAAAAAAATTTGAAAAAAAGAAATCTCACATTTAAGTAGTGCTTAATCTATCATCTGAAAATGGGTATAAGATGAAAGCACAACATACTTAAGAAGATCTGGGAGAACACCTAACCTGACAGGCAAGCCAAGCGGGGCGTTAATCAAAGAAGAAGCCAAGAGACACACAGTTACTCTGGAGGAGCTTCAGCTCTGGTGGAAGATTCTGATAATAAACAACTATTAGCTTTTCGCTCCACTAATCTGGCTTTTAATGAATCTGCTCAGAGAGCAAGACAGCTCCTTAACTGACTTTCTGCTTAATCATTCAAATAAAAAGATATTTTATTAATCCCAAAGAATAAAATAAATGTTGTGGTAACTCATACTTTAATGTAATTGAAGGATGTTGAATTTGTTCTGGTACTGCACCTACTGGCTCTGTACAGACTTCTATCACTCTGATCTTCATCCCTGACCAAACACCTCTGGTATTGTTCTGGGTAATACCCTCATTATAGTCATATAATGTTCCTTAAGCTTTCTCACCATGACTCCAACCTTAAGCAAAATTGTTATTATCAGAATTATTCTTGTAAACAAAATAATAATGATAAATGTTTTACCTTGAAGCTGAGTCCCTCCCCTCATGTTGTCGCGAATTGAGTTCTGAAAACCCAGCTGCGTTAAGCCGAAGAAGGCCATAGTTACCACTGTTCATTTAGCCAATAATGCCTTTTTAAGTGGTCCACCAGCCCCTAAGTTAAAAGACAACTATCTTGTTTACATGTTACCTTGACAACAGACCTGGCCCTCAGGGAAACATGCAAGCTATCTGGCTGTGTTCGAATTCATGGGCTGCAACCTCCAAGGACGCAGTCTGCCTGGACTAGATCCTTAGAAGTCCTTGACAATAAGGAGAGAGTAGGAGTTTAGGCTGTGAATTCAAACAGGTCAATCCTCCGGCGGCTTTTTACCGCCGTATGCTCTGTCGCTTAACAACCGTGATAGTTGACACACAAAGCAGGAAAAGAATGAATACTAAACTTTTCAAAACTATTTCTTTTCAATTTTTATTCCTATTTTTTTTATTGTAAAGTTAACAAAGACTACACTCATGTGAATCCAGAGTGGAATAATGATGTCAACCATTAGGAGCATTAACAAATAAAAGCAAATCTAATGATAGAAACCTTAGTCAGTTAAATAACATGCTGCCGTCATTTTGCACATCTCTGATGTTGCTGCTATTTTCAAATATCCATTACTTTAAAAATGTCCATAGCTGTATATTGGTTACTTATTCTCCAGGTGCTAAGTTTTATATTGTTAAAAGACTTTGCAGTTCAATATTTTATTGTTTATCTTTTAACTCTTCCCTATTATGTTATTCTAATACATTTTTCTTAAATCCACATTTGTGTGACCATTTTCAATAATCCTTCTGCTGCTGTAAATTTGCCCATTGTGGGACAATAAAGAGATTTTCTGTTCTATTCTATTCTATTCAAAAATCCCAGATATTCAATAACAAAAAATACTTAGTTAAGTAAATTGTGCAAAACAGCAATAACAAATTAAAATGCTATCAGATTCATAGTCCCCACACTGCAGATATATTAGAATCTGTCCTTAAATTAGAGCCAAACCCATTTACACAGCAAAAGATAAAAACCTTTAGATAAATCAAACATTACTGCCACATATCTGACTCTATAACCATTAAAACAACTTAAAACCATTAAAGTTAAAATGTAAATTACATAATGTAATGCACATCAATGAGAGCAATTGATTCAGCCCAAAAAACAAACTTGAAGTTGCTTCTAAATGCTGTGTGTATAGCCTTCACTTCCAGACTCTAGACCTTGTTGTGAATATTATTATTATTATGACTGATAGATTACATTTCAGTTTGTTTAGTCAGAGTTCAGAGTGCATTCTAGCTGCTGGGAGAGAGAAGGAGTGCACCCTGACCTAGACAGGTTACCAGTCTATAATAATGGTAATGTGGATACACCCAAAGGAAATGACTATGGTTGTAAGAACATAGCAATACTTTGACTCTCAATAATCAAAGCAGTAGTGGACATATTTCGCTTATATTGTCACAATCATCCTAATGAGACTTTTCTGCAGAACACATTTATTGGGGCTCTTTCTTGCTGTGGTTTTCTACTGGAAATAGCAGAATGGGTGAAAACCAAGCAATGTAAACAGGGAATACTGATATGCCATAATTACCCCAACATGGGACAATAAAGGGATTTTCTATTCTATTCTATTCTATTCTATTCTATTCTATTCTATTCTATTCTATTCTATTCTATTCTATTCTATTCTATTCATGTCAGGACTAATACTGGAAAAACTGTGACTTCTAGCTGGCAAAGAAGAAGTTTGATATATGAAAGTGAAACTAAGCATCAAACTTAAGACACACATTCACAAGACTGGGACTCCTGCAGCAGATTTTACACTCAGTCATAGTTTGTTGGACATTTGAATCAAAAACATCAGACTTAAGCCTATGAGAAATGCAATTTTCTACTACACTTGCTTAATGATGTTCACAATAACCTTTATCACCTCTAACCATTTCAAACACAGAATTAGTAAATATAAAATAAAAAGTTCAAGTTCAATACAGTCAGCACCTATATCTGACTTTTCCAATCAAATTGGGGATGTTACTAACTGTTATATCTCCCTTTAGAGCTGAAACTGTGAACCAAACCAGAAAGGAAACGTATGTTTTCACGGCTAAACAAAACCTCCATCACAGGAAAGCTACCACCTACAAGGCATCTCTATGTGTGGTCCTAACAGCCCTGCGTCTTTGTTTCCCATTGGAAATGTAGAATGCTTTGCTGTGTATGGTAGTAAGCCATTATTATTAGAAGCATGAATGTCAGACACATGAAGTGAAACCAAGAACACGTTGTATTTCCTAGCACTCTTACCACAGCTGCATGACTAGCTCAGATGTTTTTAACCAGTTTGAGCAGTTAAGCAGCTCCATTCTGACTGAGCACCTGTGCAGTTCATAGTTAAAGTCCCGGTAAAACGTTGGAGGCAGACACAACACAGGCAGAGTTACTGAGGTGAGTTCTTTACTCTTTTTCTGCAATTAGCACTTTTCAAAAATTATTTAATTTGTAAATAATTTAGAACTTCTTACAGATAATATACATATCTACACATGAGTTTTATACTAAGCTATACATACTTAATCAGGGGTCTTCTTAATTATTTTGGATCCTGTCAAGACTTGTCAATTTATGAATTTTTTGCTTGATTAAATTTCAATCATTGTGAAAATAAGAGTTGTTGTTTAAATTAAGTATAAGAAGACCGATTGGTTCATTTAGAAAATAAATAGTAGGCATCTATAAACCAATAGAATATTTATTTTTCTTCCTGAATGACATGGATTTTTTAAAAATTACTATATATAATTTTAAAAGGTTTTCATGCTGTCTACAGTGATTTTGTTTGTTTATTTTTCTCCACTTAGGTTCCAACCTTCACTCTGAATATCATGCATTTACATCTTTTCCGACATAAACGCTCAGTGAAGATAGTACTTTCCAGTTTTCTATGTTTGTCCTTCATCATACACTTCTACTTCAACAACACACTAACATCAAAATCCCCACACTTCCCCTGGGCAGATGGGAAACTCAGAGGATTAATTACAAATTCCTCTGTTTCCAAGTGTCCTCTTGGATTTTACAGCAAGCAGGAGCTCCGGCCTCCCCTTCAGAGGCCCTTCCAAGATCGCATGGGACCGGGAGCAGAAGGGAAGCCTTTCGTGTGGCGCCATATGACTGCAGAGGAACAGAAAGAGGAATCAAGTGGTTATAAGAAAAACCAGTTTAACCAGTTTGCCAGTGATCACATCTCTCTGCACCGGAATCTTGGAAAAGACACACGTCCTCTGGAGTGAGTTTCCCTGCAGCTCATCATGCAAGCAGAGCTTAATTTAATACTGGTATCGCCATTCAGGCAAGAGATAGATGCATTTTTAAAAAGCTGCTTCTTAACTTCCAGTCTGGCTCTGACAGCTGCTTGAAGCAGAAGTTTTTGAGATGTCCCGGCCTTCCAACCACCAGTGTGATTATAGTATTTCACAACGAGGCCTGGTCCACCCTGCTAAGGACCGTCTACAGTGTCCTGCACACAGCCCCTGCTGCTCTGCTCACTGAGATCTTACTGGTAGATGATGCCAGCACAGATGGTGAGTGTTGTCACTGATAATTAGAGGGGAAGTACTGGTTAATGTAAAAATCTACCAATAGTACTGCCAACACATGCTTATACGTATTAGTATAAATACTTTAGTGCAATATTGCAGTTGTAGAAAAATAAAGTCTAATCCCTTTACTTTCCCTTTACAAGAGACAAACAAAAACCTTTATGTATTTTAAAATACCAGCCTACAATAGCAGTCACAGCAAATAAACTAAAGGATGAAAATGAGTGAGCAAACAGCATCATGGAGCCCAAGGAACACAGCAGACTGGTCAGGGAGAAAGCTGTGGAAAAATACCTCAGTAAAATATCTCATTAGGCACGGATGAATAAAAATAGCTCTGTTTGTAGTTTCCATCAAGTTATTCTCTGACACTAAGGTGCTTTGGTCAAGTTGGACTATCTGTAAAAATAGACGCAAAAAATCTCAATTAGAGTTATTTTTTAAGCTGAACTGTAACAAAGGGGGAAAATGTACAATGGTTATGAAAACCTTTGCAACGTGTCATTAGTATCAGTTCTTCAGGAAGTATTATCATATCCAAAGTTAAAAAAAAGTAGTGCAGTATGAGGAAAACAACAGTTTTACTTCACAATTGGATGAGGCACAGAATATTAGCTGGAAAAGAACAGTGGCCAGTTAGTTACAGCATTAGTGCTCTTGTTATGTTGATAATCTATATGGTGCATGACTCATTATATTCAAAAGGTCCATGGGAAAAATTATCCAAACAAAATAGAGGCTCTGGTTATTATAAAGAAATAAACTCTAATCTTTGCTCAATGTTAGATAAAGTACAGAAGGATCCTGTTGCTTCAAATAGGACCTATGTGGTGTGCTCAATGTCCTTTTCTCCCCATTGTATATTCACAAGTGTACATTTAGTGGAAAATTCAGATTGAAAATATCCAGCCACACAATGACAAATGTAGATGGTCATAAATATCATACTGCTGTGAAATTCAATGCAGAGAAAATATTCTTCCCAAAGTCAAGAAAAGAAGGGCTCTGTTTCATAGTGTTAGTGACTCAATATTTCAAAATCAAGATTATACCACAGGAAAATTTTTCCTGTTATTGTTTACTACTGCAGAAAGTAATGCTTACATGAACTCCTACAAAAGATGTGTGGGATGTTTCCAGCCTACATTAATATTGCTCTGGAGCTTAGGAAGCACAGGGGCCAGCCCAGAGTTAAATCGAATTAAACTGAAAAATGAAATCCTCAGCGACAATTTGTCAGAGAATATGAACATACTGTAAACATCTGCAGGAACACATCATCACAACAACTTCTTAATCACATTAAGAAGTTAATTACATTAAAAATTGTTGCATATATTAAAGACATATAAAAGATCTTTCGTTGATTAATAGGAAACTATCGTCAGTCAGAATGTAAAACTCCTCTCACCCATATTACCCTTAAATATGCTGCTTCAATTTAAGTATTTGTCCCCAAAATACAACATTTAATTCTAAATATTTCTTCTTAGCTCTGATTTTTTTTTATTACCTCTGTCTTCAGATCACTTAAAAGCTCCTTTGGATGAGTATGTGCAATGGTTGCCTAAAGTGCGCGTTCTACGTCAAAAGGAGAGAAAAGGCCTGATTACAGCCAGGCTGATGGGGGCTGAGGCTGCAGGTGGAGAGGTACTCACTTTCCTAGATTCCCACTGTGAGTATACATTAATGTTGGGATTATTGCTTTTTAGATGCTGGGAACAGATTATTCTTTAAACAATGTTTCTTGCTATAATAAAAGTATCTGTTTCCACAGCATTAGAAATATAGATTTCAAACTCCACCTAAGCAGTAAAAAAAAAAAAAAAAAAAAACATGTTAGAATGATGTTTTATTATCTGACAGGCGAATGTTTCCCTGGCTGGCTGGAGCCTCTTCTGGCTCGAATTGCTGAAGAGCCCAAAGCAGTAGTGAGCCCAAGAATCACCAATATAGACTATCGAAGCCTAGGGTTTCACAAACCAGTCCCTGAACCGCAAAATTACAGCAGAGGAACTTTTGATTGGAGTCTGAAGTTTGGATGGGAGCGTGTTCCAGAAGAGGAGAAGAAACGCAGAAAGAATGAGACGTCCCCAATAAGGTAAATATAAATGTGGAAACTCATTGATTTTGGTTTCGGCAACTTGTTACCATTTTCAATAGAGGAAACAAGTAACAACTGATACAGGTCTGAACAACCTTTTCTGGATCAGTAGGTTTACAACTATAAAAGAATAATTGTTGTACAATTGTTGTTCATAGATTCAAAGTTTTCTCTAAAATTTCTGTTTAAAGGTGCTTTATTGTTTTTTTTAATTTGTGTTTTCATTGTTGGCTGAAATAGAAAAATGTTAAAATGAATTTTCTGAACAAATTTCCTAAATATTGAATAAATGTAGCATTGCTGCTGCAGTTAACATCTCATATTTTACAGAACTCCTACCTTTGCTGGAGGCCTTTTCTCTGTTTTGAAATCCTACTTTGAGCACATTGGAACCTATGATGACCAGATGGAGTTCTGGGGAGGGGAGAATCTAGAAATGTCCTTCAGGGTGAGAATTTTCCACTTAATGTGTTAACCCGCGAGAGAAAGTCCTTCAATTCAACCAGTCTGAGACTCTATACTGTACATTAATACACTGTTTTGAGAAGGCACCCACAAGCATCTCTGAACTTACAGAACTGTGGGATACATCAAACTGGTCAGGAATAAAACTGGGGAGTAATTTTTGGCAGGGTTTGGTTTAGTGATGTTTTTGTAAAAAGAAAAAGCCATAATAAGCCTTATTTCCTATTTCCCCTCTTATATGTAAACAGTGTATAGATGGAATAAGGTGTCCTGCTCAGATAAGACCAAAAACAGAAGCTTTTGGCTTATAGCATGTGCAAAAATCACTGTCACACAAAAGTGCTTATCCTCCTTAACACAAAATTCCAGTGGTCAGACAGCGGAAAGTGCATCATGCTATGTGGACCATTTTCTCCAGCAGAGACAGGGAAACCTGAATGGTGATTGGAAAAACCATACATTATTACAAGTCCTCCTCTAAGAAGCCTATTAAAAGACAAAAAATGCCTTAGAGTGACATATAGACAAACATCTTGGAACTAGAATGACCAAGTCAAAGTCCTGACCTAAATCTAATAGGAATAGACAATATGTAATCAAACATAAAAGCTGATCAATACCCCCACTCAATGCAATGTTAATGGATTTGAAACATTAATGTCAAAAAACGGGACAGATGGACCCAGTATTCAAGGAGAGTCTGACAATGGGAAGATTAAAAACATTTAAAGACAGAGATAATGAAACAGAACAGAACAGAAACGGGCTGCTAGGGATAATAGGACCGCAGCAACTGCAGGGGGGCGGGGCACAACCCATCACTGGTGCTCTGGATGTGAGAGAACACAGGTAAGTGACCACGATCATCTGACAGGGGATGGTTAACAGAGTGAGTCACTTACAGTACCTGGTTTAACAGCTCAGTCCATCTCCTTTTGAAGAGGCGAGATCCAGCCGATATGCTGCCAATGAGTGTCCCAGATGCTGCAGCCCCGGAGAACATGCAGGAAGCCGATCCAGGTCAGGGTAAAACAGATCAGGCAAGAACAGTACAGGAATCCAAGAGTTCTGGTTTGATCAGAGGTTCTGATCCAAGCAGGAACAGAGGGATCCAGGCTTCCAGGTATCCTCAGAGCATGAAGGCAGGTTCAGATACATACCCAGACAGAAGCATGCCCAGACAGACACGTACAGATGAAGGACAAGACAGGACAAGACATGGTTCCAGGATAAATGCCGAACTTTAAACTGGTCTCCACCTTGGAGCCAGGCTTACAGGAATTAAAACTGACCTCCCCCGCGTTACGAGCCAAAACCATGTGGGCTCAGCGGAGAAGAGCCGGGACACGACCAGGAGACTGGAGACAAACACCAAACCCTATCAATCCACTGGCTTTCCAGAGTCAGGAAATGAACGGGAAACTTCACTAAAACTTCACTCTGCACTGCAGCTTCGGTCTGTCCCGGCGGGGGTCTTCAGACAGCAGATGCGTTTCTCACGCCCTCTTAGCTGAACCTAGACGCTAAGCGCAATCCCCGATTAAAAGACATGAGAGGCTGACCGGGTGACTGCTAAATTCTGCAACAGTATTGCGGCGCTTTGAGGCCTAATGGCCATAAGTTACCCGGTGTGGCTTTAAATAACTAAATTCAAACCAATTTGATACTTACTCTCAAACTCTCACAGCTGTAAGTGCATAAGGTTGATTTTATAGAGCATTAACTCAGGGAACTTATACAGCATTTGACTATGCATAATACATTACATATTTGTATTAAATATCGTCTTCTTCCTTCTACTTTAAAATTATGCACAATTTTCACTATGTCACATATAATCTCAAAAATAACATTAAGAGTTTTTAGGTGATGAAATATCAAAGAGGTGGGAATTTAGTCACATTTTAGGAAGGCACTGTCAGCCAAGGAGAGAGGGTTTAGTTAAAGTGTACTCTGGTTATTTTTTTTAATCATCCTGCAGGTTTGGCAGTGTGGAGGCCTCTTAGAGATCATTCCTTGTTCTGTTGTCGGTCACATTTTCCGCAAGAAGAGCCCCCACAGTTTTCCAAATGGCAGTGCTACTGTCCAACGCAACCTGGTTCGTCTGGCTGAGGTTTGGATGGATGACTATAGATGGGTCTTCTATCGTGCAAACAGAAAAGCTGCATTCATTTTTCGGACGGTAAGAATAAATGATATCTTCAAAACATCTTGAAATGTCAGTCAAGTGTTTCCTTCCAATAACATGTGAAGAAAATTGCAATGTAATCACAGTATTCACTTCACTTTGTGGTTTGCCTGTTTTCATTCAATTCCCAGAATTCCTACGGGGATGTTTCTGAACGGCGTAAACTAAGAGAAAAGCTGAATTGCACGAGTTTTTCTTGGTATTTAAACAATATACATCCATCGGCATACGTCCCTGACATCAGGCCCATCGTTTATGGACAGGTATGTTCCTTGTCCTAATGCTTTTTTTCCAGTTACGTAGATTCTCAAACCTGGCTGTTTATGATTTTGTTGTTCATGAAGCTAAACAACACTGGAGGTAGCTGCCGACTGGATGTGGAAAAGAGTAAAAAGCACTGGGAAGCAGGGCAAATCTTCAAATGTAACAACCAAGGTGAAGCACAGGTATAGCATTTTTTTCTATAAGTCTTTCTAAAATAGGGTCCAACAACATCTAAGGTAAAATACCACTTATTTTTTCTAACTCAGAAAAGCTTCTTTCGGTAAATGCAATTTATCTTAGAAAACCTCAAATCAATTAAATCAAAGAGCCATGGTCAGTTTTACACTTTTTAAATTTCTTTCCTTTTAGTATCTATATTTAGAAAACATTTTTACCCTTCACTGTGGAGGACATTCTTCCTTATATCCAACAGAAGCTTAAAGTAATGCATTACAAGTTTAAACTTTCTAGACTAGCTGATCAACCTAAAAACAACTAATGGTCAAACAATCAACTCTGCCCACATATGAAATAAATTCACAAAAACTTTGATACAAAGTATTAAAAAGTTATGAACAAAAATTGTTCAGCCGTAGGGCAAACATATTTCGGTTAAAAACTCTTGACTAAACAAATTAAAATGTCAGGGTTGGTGGATATTGTAATAGACCCAAATACAGAGTAGAAAAGGCAGAGATCATTAGATGCAAAATTTAATGAAGTAAAAATTTAAAGATGTAATAACTAGAAGGAGCTAAGGAGAAAGGACACAAGGGGGCAACAAAGAATAACCAGAGAGAAAAAACAGGATCTGAAAGTAAGTAGAAAATAAATAAGGCTAAAGGGGAATAAAACTGATGTCAAAAAAAAAAAAAAAAGGAATGACCAAGGGAAGGGACTGGAGATAACTGAAGCCATGGAAAACCTTACACAAAGATAAGAGAAAGAATAACTAAAACTAGACCAAAGATGAATAATACCAAAAATGTTGAAGAAAAGCAATAACCCGGAAGAGCAAAACTAAGAATACAAAAATTATCTGACTCTGGACCATACAAAACAAAGCAAACTTGAGAACCTAAAAAATAAAAGCTTACACCTGAAGATCCAAAATAGAAAATCATAAGCTCAACTAAATGAAATTGCTACTTTGTACAGACAGAAGGAAAGGCAAATGATAAATAGATGAAAACCATTATCAATAAAATGATACGATTATTACAGGTCAGGATAGATATTATGTTTGACAACCATAGTTAATCCGAAAGAATTTGAAATGTCAAAATAGCTTTAAAATAATTAAGAGTAATTGGAATGTGTTCAAACCAATTCACAACGTACGTCCAGGAGGTGAATAAAACTTTATTTGGTAAAATAATACATATCAAATGATTTGCCCAATCATAAATCAATAACCATTAATACGTCCAAAGTATCAATTACCTCTCCAAACAGTTTTTAACATATTTATAAGGCTGAGGCTAGACATGAATTTCCTTTATCAAAATGTTTTTTGCTTGTTTCTCTATTTCTAGTATTTTGAGTATACCTCCAAGAAAGAGATTCGACTCAGTGCTGGAAATAAATTGTGCTTACATGCAGACCCTAAAAATGCTTTAGTTTTTCTTGAGTGGTGCAATATGAAGGGAAAGGCAGCAGAAGAACAAGTGTGGATCTTCACAAAGGTAAAACAAGTAGTTCCTCATCATCTGAACCTTTTGTTGTTACAACCTTCCCTCTGCTGCAGAGTGGAGAAGTGAGACTTGTATTTCCTCATTCTTGCTCATAATCCGCAAGCTTCTTAAATACTCAAAAAGACATCTGACTATTTTTACTGATGTTGTTTGCAGGCAAACCAAATGAAGAACCCTTTGTCAGGCATGTGTTTGTCAGTCGCAGGTGGAAATGTGATGCTGTCAAAGTGCAAATCCGCCTCAGAGAAACAGGGCTGGGTATTCATCCGAGCGGAGTAAGAGGCTTCGAGTATATGGTCTGCTTCTGCTACAGTCACATGCTCTTATGCTCGTTAAACATGCCATGTTTCTTAAAAGGAGGTTTAGCAATACATGGATAAGGGAGATGAAAAAGAATCCAGAATCCTTTGTACAAAGAATCCTCTGTACTGTGGGAAATAGGCTTTTAATGCTTTTACTTTCTCATTTTATTTAACAGTCTTGTCTGGGGTATCATATACCCATACAGAGTAAAATAAAATAAAAAAAATTAATTTTATATTAAATACTAAAGAAGTTTTAAATTATTTAATCATAAATTTGCTCTTTCTATACTTTTGAGCTGAAAAACTCATTGATATAAAATGTAACGGCAAACGAAACATTTTGATATCTATAGTTTATACGTGCAATAAACGGCTCTATTCTTTGCATAAACACTGTTGCGATTTAGGTTTTGAATGTTTATGCTCTGCCATTGTGATTTTCAGCTTTAAATGTTTTTTTTTTGCATTTTTAAAGCACTACTGGTTCATTTTTTGGACAGTAGGCAAGGGGATGAGAAAGGGGGAGAGACATGCGACGAAGGACCACAGGTTGGTCTCAAACCCGGGTCGGCAACGTTGAGGACTAAGGCCTTCATACGTGGGTTGTGTGCACTAACCGCTGCGCCACCAAAGCATGCTCAATCAGCTTTAAAAGTTGATATATCACTGTGATGTAGTTAGTTACACCCTTACAATTTTCACAAGCCTTGTGGCTGAATCCTACACTGCCTTCAGCTTAAACTTGAGGGAGTGTTTTGCACTATATGATGCTACGAGTCTTTTCTCCTAATTATGGAGTTGTATGAAAAATATTTAATACATACCATGAACAAACAAAAAAACAATTTTAACTTATTTGAATTGTACATATAGTATAAAGATAAAACCACTTAAAACATTTGTTTTGTTTACTTTTCAATGTGTTTTGTGTAGGTTTTTGTATGTAAAGTAAATCAAAGAATTGAATATAAAAAAATTTGCTCATGGTGAAAGTGTATATATAAAGCCTAATGTTATTTAGCCTAATGTTATTTAAGGTAAAATATTGTAAATTTTGTAACTATATTACTTTTCCACAACATAATAAAGTCATACAAATGTACTTTGCAGTGGTCCACTTTTGTACAACTGTACTTGTATTTGTGTATTTTTTATTCCTGTTCTGAAAATGATGTGAGGTTAGTTTGCCATCAAATATTGAACTTTGCATATTCATCATTAAAAATACAAATGCTAACCAAGAATTGGGACAATGAAAAGTGGGATTTTTTTTTTTACATTCGATTTGTCTCATAAACTGGACCTCAGAAATAGAAAATTTTACAACTATCATTACAGAACAGAAACTATGCTTTAAGTGCTTAATCTGAGCTTTTAAAGTACTGACAGAGCACTCATACAGAGAGGTTGCAACTGTATCTTATTTTAGCAGAGGCTTTGATGAGATACAAAACCATCAGATGTGCTAATATGTGCTAATACCAGCAGAATTTCCTGTTTCCTGCACAGCAACCATGTAGGAAATTGAGCCCACGGCTGTTTTGCAAGCTCAATATTTTTTATTCAAAATATAACCTTATAAGGGGCTTAGACACACAATAAGATACCATACACAGATATACACACCACCTGACAATCAATTAGACCACAGCCCATTTCATTGACTGCTCTGGATCAAGCTGGGGTTTATGTAAACACCACATGCTAGATTTCCACAAAGAAACTTTTTTTCAAAGGATCCTTGTATTTTCTAAAAGCCTTTTTAATTTTTCTTGAAGACATTACCAGTGCATAATGTTTAATCAGTATTTTTCCTCAGAAGGTGTTTCATATTGTTAGAAATGCTTACTCTTATTATTTTGTACGTGTCTTTATTAACTGATTCGTTTCACTCTTAGCTGGGTGTCTCCACATTTCACTATGGTCTAATGACTATATAAACTCTTTATTCTTGGTTCTTGTTGTTTTATGACTGGAAACTCAATATCTGACCCCAAAGATAACAAGCATATAGCAACCCAAAGTTCAGTTTTTAACATAGCTTTTATGCATATAAAAATAGGAAACATTGAATCATAAAGTATTTTTTTAGCACTTCTTTGAATTAGTTTTTATCAAATCAGGGTGACACAAATATGGTTCATGATTTTCTATTTTGTAAACATGTTTAGTAGTGTTTGAAAACATAAAATGGAGAACAAAAACATCACTAACTAAAAAATTGTAAAGTGTTTGTTAATAATATGCAACTGATAATGTTGTTATACTGTCATTAAGAAAATTTTTAATTAATATTTGTGTACTTGTGTTACTTTTAGATTACATAACGGTGTTGTAACAAAGTCACGGAAAAAAAAAACAAATAAACAAAAAAAAAGGATTTTTAGTGCACAAATTTTGAACTTGTTACATCTGGTGTGCTAAGGGGATTTGCTAAAGAAATAACAATACCAATTCCATTTGGGAAAGTGAATGAAATACAGTAAATGAAAGAAATGGCATACAACATATATGATCCAAGTCATATAAACCAACAGGTAAGTTAAAAACTATAATTAGTTGATTAGAAGAAAACAAAATTGATCTGAAAACATGCCAAATGGGCTAAAACATTATAATAAAGAAATAAATCCAAATGCATTTAATAATGGACGATAAATAAAGTCATAGACATTTATCATCGTCTAAGGTTTTGGAACTCTGGGGAGTCACATTTAGAATCGTTATATAGGAATTGAGAAAACATGAAATATTAGGGATCCTTCACAGGAACAAAACTAAAACTAACAAATTAAAAATAAATTAAGAAATAAACCCTAGAGTTTATAAAACCATTACCATAAGGCAACAGAAACAGGAAGAAGAAAGCTACAATGTAAAAGTGACAGGAAATACTGTAACTTCAGGATCAAATCAAATTTCAACGTTTTTCTAAAAGAACTTTGTTTGTATTTTCAATCACTTAAATTAATGAAGAAGAAAAATGGTATAAAATTATACAATTTTGTAAATGACAGTAAACTCAATGTAAACCCCTAGCTATTATTATTTTATGTTTTTTTTATCTATTTATTTGTTTATTTATTTATTTTTACCTTCTATGTCTCATCTTTCTTAAAGTTATACTTTCACCAACTGTTGTCTATCTATGCTTGATGTTTAATTAATTTTGTAATGTTACACAGAATTGCCAATAAAGCAAAAAAAAAAAAGAAAGAAAAACAAAACAACAAAACAAAACAAAACAAACAAAAAAAAAACACTCGAGGGAGGGATCCCTGCTGTCATTTTAAAATAAATTGTTCCAGTTGAAAAAAAAAAAAAGTGACAGGAAGTTAAGAGGAATTTCAGGAATATAAAATCGAAATATTCCAAAATAGCAAATTTCCCTTCCAAAAAAAAAACAAAAAAAAAAAAACAAGAAAATATTTAATAATCTTTAAAAGTTGAATAATCTTCAGATTATCTATTTTTTCTTGTAATGTTTACTATCCTACATTCACCGAAGTAGCGTTGGGGGCGGAGTCTGTTCATATGACGCCCCGCCCATATACCGACGTGACGACGTCACTTGCTACTATCAGTGATGGGATCCGGAACGAGCGCTGGTGAGTTTGTGTTAAACCAATAAAATCTCTCAGTTTTGCCTGGTCACCTCAACAGGGAAGTAGGCAGCAGTTACAAAAACACATCTCCAGGCTTGGCTTTCGTCGCGACGATTTTGCAGGAAGCCTGCGTCGCTGTCAGGATTTAACAGCCAGGTTATCATCTTCTTAACAAACCTGTGAGTAAGTAGCAGGACTGTTCTGTTCGCTTCACTGCTCTTAACTGTCCCGTCCGTTACCGTTAGCTCCTGTTAAGCTAGAGCTCGTTAGCTTGCTTTTAGCGTCAGCTTTAGGTTTGTTTGTCCTAACAACAACCAGTGAGACAGAACTAGTGAAGACAGAGCTTTGCTGCTCAGCTGGTGCTGATAGTCAACAAGGGGCTATATAAAGGCATGGATGGCTGCTCTCCTACAGCTTCATCACTCTGTAAGGTTTAACTGGTTAAATACAGGATTTACAGAGGATTTGACTTATATCATTACGGTTTGTTGTGCAGCTTTTATGTGCAATCCAGATGGGACTTAAGGAAATAAATTCTGGAGGCTTGGAAATTACTTTAATAAAGACACCCATCAGATCAGTCTGTGAATAAATACATCTATTCATTATTGAATGGGCTAGTGCTTCCAGTTAAAATACTGGAGGTATAGGTAATTTTTTGATTTTGATCACCTTTATTTTATTCAGTCCCTTTTTACATGTTAGTAAAAGTGTAATCAGCAGATTTGCACTAACGATTATTACAGTTGGGGTTTTATTACTCTTTATGATCATGACTTAATATTCTGATTTTTCAAGCGATATTTACATTCTAACTAATGTAACTAATCTCTTTCCAGTGTAATACAACCTAACTATTCATGCAGTTTGATCTTTGAACCTTGATCTACAGGAATGGCTTTGGCATTTTCTTTATTTTAATGTTTTAAATGTTAAACCGATGCTATTAGTAGTAGTAGTACTGTTATTATTAGCTAGAGTCAGTAGTCTGTTTGTAAAAAACAAAAAAAAACCAAAAAAAAAAAACCCAAAAAACAAAAAAGGGGATGGTGGAATTTTTGTTTTGTTTCGGAAGCATTCATAGCCTAATTAATTTAGTCTATTTGGCACCTTACAGTAGAACTGCAGTCAGTCCCTGGGCTGACATAGCTATCACTGTCCCTATATAGTTAGAGACAAATGCAGAGGACACATTACCCTTCTGGGATCAGCTTCATAGTCATGCTAGTCCACTTTGATTTTATTTATATTGCTCCGGCTACTTGTAAGCCCACAGCCCACCGAATGTTGAAATTACTGTTAATATATAGTAGAAATTTTACACATTCAGTAATGCAAAGTCACAGGGGATGGACATTTAAGAAGGGGGATGATTTTTAAGATTTTTTTTAAAAGAAGGGATGTCATCCCCGCTCAACTCTAGTACTGACTATAGTTTTACCCTTTTTTTTTATTGCACATTGTCTATAGTAGTAAGCATAATTTGCAGAAATGTAATTAAAGCAAACTTGCAAGGGAAATTTGCTATTAAAATAACGCATTGGCCTACAGTCCTAAAAAGTTGATAGTTATGGTAAGATTCCAGGTAATATCATATAAATCCATAAAAAATATTAGGATTAGTTAAAAATGTATAATGTTATAAATGCAAGTATAAAAGCCCTCAAAGTATTTGTAGAGTGTTCCAGAGCGTTTTGTTAAACTAATTTAAAGTTACTTCTTTTTAGAATGTAGGTGTCAATTGTAGAACTTTCAAAGCCAGAAGGTCTGGTTCCACATCCAAACTTTGGTTTCCAAATGTTTGATTTGTATGCTCTCCCTAGCAAAGCTTGGGTTTTCTCCTCCAGCTTCCGCCCACATTGAAGAAATTCAAATCTCAGGCTTGATATATAAGCCCGGTAAAGGACTGGTGAGCTGAAACCTGTCACCCAGTCGCTGATGGGATTGGCTTTCCCTTTGCTCCACCCAATGAACTGATGGCCTTTTATTGCAGATGTAGATTCTCAGTCATCCAGTTGGGAAAAAAAAAACTGTATTAAAAGTTGAATCACAAACCTTCAAAGTTGTTGGTGCTTACTATCTTTAACATACTTGAATAATCAATAGTTTAATGATTAATCATTAGCTTTAAAAAAAATAATTGTGAGTTCAAAGACCTGATAATTATTTTTAGACTTCAGGGACAAATGTGATAGGACCTTTAAAAAAGGCCCTATCACCTTGCCTTTTTTTTTTTTTTTTGGCTTTCCTGCTTTTAGTTGTGTAAGACATTAGAGACCAAAGTTAACTTACTGCAACATTCTGGGGAAGTTGATTTAAAAAGTGTTTCCTTTTTGTATTCAGATTTTTTTTTCTTACCGAAAGCAAACATTAAAAAACACAAAACAAAAACACGCTTGGAATATTTTACTATCTTTTTTAAGCAACTTTGAGTCAGACTGCTTGTTTAGCTTTGGTTTATTCTCTTGCTGTTCAATCCAAGGGGGATTTGGACTTAGGATTTGAACTGATGGTCAGCCATTAACCTTTAGGTTAGCTGTGGGACACTTAAATTCATGTTTTCATCAGTTCTGGAGAGATTTCCAGGTTCAAGGAGACCAACATTGACTACAGATGAAACCTTCTTTTACCATGATGCTGCTAGCTCTGTGTAACAGGATGTACACCTCCCAAAAAAACACCTTTTTATTAGTCAGTCTAAATAACATTTTCTGAGGAGTATTGGGAGTATCATTACACTCTTAGAGTAGTTTTGTTTGGCCACTCCTGGGAAGAATCCCTAATATTTCATGTTTTCTCCATTTGTACACAACTGTTCTAAATGTGACTCCCCAGAGTCCCAAAACCTTAGACAATGATAAATGGACTGGGAACTCTCGCCCGTAGACAGCTAGAGATAGGCACCAGCACCCCTCACGACCCCAGAAGGGATAAGCCTGATAAAAAATGAATGGATCATCTTTTGAAAAGTGTTATTTATTCATTTCTCTGATCATTTTCTGTCTTGTATTGAAATCATTTTTCACATTTAAAATAAATCAAAGTGTTTTATATTGTTATTACGAGGAGGAGGGGTTCACAGCTCCGTAGACATTACAATATTTACTAAGCATCTCTCCCTGTGTTCCTCTGCAGCTCACCAAGGTCTCCACAAAGTCAGAACAGGTCAACAAGAACTGTCTACAGACTCAAGAAAAAAGAGGACAACAACAGATGGTACGGCCTTTATAAAGTCCTAAACTCTGTTACAGGGTCAGTCTGTGATAGCATGTAGGAACCAAGCTCAAGGTGATCTGTATCATGCCCTTCACACAAACACAAAAGATCTATCAAGAACTCGGGGAAACTTTTCCAGATAAAATTTGTTCCTTTTATATTTTTTTTCTGAAAAGTTTTGCACAGTGCCTCGAATATATTGATGTTCATTGTTAAATAACAAGCAAATACCATTTTACATATTTTTTATTTTCATTAAAGGTGCACAGTATCTCATGATAGTTTGTTGTGTTAAACTTTTCTCCTTCTTTTTGTCTGCTTTTCAGAGAAAATGAGCCTTCCCCTCTCCCGTTCAGAGGTGTTTGGGGAGCTGCGCCAAGAGCTCTATGACGATGAAGAGTTCCATCAGTCTGATGTACACATCTTCATCATCATGGGGGCGTCTGTGAGTTTGTGAATCTTCACTCTGCCCTGTTTCTATTTTATATGTAGTTCCACTTTTAGTCTCGGACCTTTAGTCACTGTTTCGAGGAAATAGTTTTGAAATAAAGATAGCGTAATAATTGCACAGAGTGAGATTTGGTCAGTGTCCAAGCTGATTTCAACAATCTGTGAGCAAACTTGGCTCACTGTCCGCTTTCAAAACCTTCAGACTCAAATGGTTCCTCTTTATGTTTTATCAAAGAAACTAAAACATTTTCAAACATGAAAATTTCTATTTTTATTTTATTTTTAACTATTTAATTCCTTTCTATTTTCGACTGAATGTGTACCTGTCTAGCCCTCAGAGTAAGGACCATTTTTCTAATTACACCATCAAATAGAGGACCAGTTGTTGCAAAGTGAGACATTTTGCCGGTCCTCATCACATGCTATTTTGCTAATGGTTAGGTTTAGGGCTTATGTGTCAATTTGTTAGTGTTAGGGTGATGACTATGAAGGCAGAAGGAGTATATGTAGGCGTCATTTCTCTGCTTTTTAAAAAACATCTTGATGTCTGTATGTTTTCTGGCTCTTACATCATCTGAATGACAGAATGTAAATAAAAGAAAAGGGGTTTTATATTCCGTCTGCAAATTTCCACCTTTCATTCAGGTGTCAGGTTTCATTTCCTCGTTTCTTTCTTGCAAAATACCTTGCTTCTTCTTCCTTGTAGCTTTTCCCTCACAGGGTTTGGTTTAATAGTTGTCTCCCTTGTTTTAGCTGCATTATACTAGTAAAAGAACTGGCCTTCTAATGTCCAAAGATTGGGAATTATGTTTCTAACAAGCTATTTTTTTATCCAGCTTTTTAGTGGTTGTGTGCTGTTTTCACTGCAGGGCTTTCTCTTTGCACAACAAAGTGGCTCATTAAGCTTTTTCTGCAGCGTCACTGTCTGTCAGCATTTTTCTTTCATTGGGATCTGGGGGCAGATCAGGGACAGGGCTGGGCTCTGTTCAGCCAGACTGTAGCTGTACCTGTTTTATGGACGTGTGTGTTGTAAACTATCTAGTCCAAAAACAAAGTTTGACAATAAACACATAAAGAGAGTTTTTATGTTTGCTCTAACTGTCCCTAATTTGTCCTGCGGTGAATCAGGATGCATGATTCTGTTTTTCTGTCAGACTTTTGCTTTGTAATGGTTTGTTGGAGACCATAGTGTTGAGTTACAGACTTGATCAGAGTAATGAGGGTAGATTCTCTCTGGAAGCACACAGCCTTAAATAAAAGTTGCCAGGTTACAAACTGGGGTGCTCCCAGATGAGGATTATCGTTTGTGTTGAGACGAGGAACAGCTAAGCTTATTGGATTGCATTTAGGGTCAGAGGTGCATTGTTCTGGGGATTACTTCTTAATTAAGTTGACTTCTTTTGTTCATGCATGTGACATACCCTGTACTTAATGAAGGCTGCATTTTTATAAAATACAATACAGCTGAAAAGTTGCCTTATTTATTCAGAAATTTAGTTTAACTCCTATTTTTACACACAGTGCTTTATTTGTTACATGTATTTAAGCTACACTTTTTTTTCTAATAGAATTGGATAATTGCATCAAATTATACATTTAAACCATTTCTCTTAAAAAGAATTCCTATAAGGTAAATCAGTTGCACTCCCTGAATTGAATCATAAAAAAAAAAACAAAAAAAAAAACTTTCTGAATATATTACTTTTTATTTTTAGAGGCCTATATTGCTTTAGTGAATCAGAATCAGAAATACTTTGATAATCCCAGAGGGAAATTGCTTTTGTTTTTTTTGGCTTTGGAGATCTGCATCGATTAGCTGATATGATAGACAAAGCCATTGTTGTCTAGATAGGCCCAATCGCAAAAGCAACAGGTTCTTCAGGATCACACCAGGAAGCAGTTGGTCAGTCAGTGTTTTAGTCTGTTTTGTCATTCCTTCTGTTCTAGTTGGATTATCATGGTTGTGCAATCCTTAAATAAGACAAAGCTTTGTTTAAACCTGGCTTTACTAGAGATACTGCGACATTGTGAGAGTTGGGTGTAGTGGAAAATCTGCCTTAAATGTCGGTGGATAAGATGGGACTGCAAATGAATAAACCTTCATGTGTTTTGGCCCACAGGGGGATCTGGCAAAGAAGAAGATCTACCCAACTTTGTGGTGAGTGATCATGTCTAGAACGGTTCAGCCTAATTAAAAAAATGCCTTAATCTGTAACCTCAGAGGTGGGTAATAATTAAAAAATATTCCCTTGTCTTCTCTCCCAAGGTGGTTGTTTAAAGACGGCCTCCTCCCTGAGCAGACATATTTTGTTGGCTTTGCTCGCTCCGAACTCACAGTTGATTCCATCCGGACTGCCTGCATGCAGTACATGAAGGTAGAACTTGATCTTTTGAAATCTGGCATTCAAAAAAACAATTTTTATTTCTAATTCTTCCAGGCTGATTTAAATTCTGCTAATACACATGTTTACATTTGTGCACTCTGACATAGGTGGCAGAGACAGAAACAGAGCGGCTGTCAGCCTTCTTTGCCAGAAACACTTATATCAGCGGGAAATATGCAGATGAGGCCTCCTTCTCCAAGCTTAATGCACACATGCAGTCTCTGCCGGGGGGAACCGAGGCAAACCGCCTCTTTTACCTGGCCCTGCCGCCGACAGTCTACCACGATGTCACCAAGAACATCAAGCATCACTGCATGAGCACAAAGTCAGTACAATCTTGCCCACCTAGCTCATTTATCTTAACTGTGCTTGTTTCTTAGGGCTTCAAACACACTGGTGTTGAAGTATGTAACCAAATGTCTTAAAACCTAATATTGCAGCCACAGTTTGATGTATTTTGTTTAGATTTTTAAATATAGAGAAACATAAACCAGGACATTATTTCAAATCTAAATTAAAGGAGCAAATGTCTGTTTAAAATAAACAACAACAAAAAAACAACGTCACTCTATATATCTAAAGATATATGCATTTGATTTCAGTGCCCCTGAGCCCATACTTTGTAAAATCACCTTTTTCCTTAGCAGTAGCTGCCAGTGTTTTTGGGTATATTCCTACAAGCATTGGACATCTAGAGACTGGTTGTTATTTTGTCTTTTGTCCATTCTTTTCCCCCTTCTTTTTCATGTAATTGATTTAACGTGTCTAGAATGGCATAGTCGTGTTGTTAGCTCTGTCAGGTGTTGCCAGGAGGCCTCTGGGTTTAATCTCAGCTTCCTGTGTGGTATTTAGTCTCCTTTTGTGTCTGTGGGAAAGTATCTAGCTTCCCAGTGACCTTGAACATGATAATCATTGAAGTTTAACTATATGGAGTTAAGTTTTTAAACGTTTTACTTCTTTAATACGTCACTGCTGCACTAAATTTGGTGATTGTTGTTGAATTGTTTATCTTCCTGCTGTGTGTTGGTTAGGGGCTGGAACAGAGTGATTGTTGAGAAGCCATTTGGACGTGATCTGCAGAGCTCTGAGGAGCTGTCCACACACCTCTCTTCCCTTTTCACAGAGGACCAGATCTATCGTATTGATCACTATCTGGGCAAAGAAATGGTGCAGAACCTCATGGTGCTCAGGTAGGAAAACCATCCTCCCATATTTTGCTTTGTTTTCTTTTTTTTAGTTAACACTGAATTATTAGCCTATCAGTAAATCTTCATACAGTCACAGAGCTCTGTGTTTTTAATTTTACACTGAAATAATGAATTTTATTAGAGCTTGTGTGAGTTCAGATTTAACCTGGCTTGTAATCAGGAACAGAGCTGAACATGAATGTTTCTGTGTGTTGTCACAAACAGCTGTCTGTGTGCTTTGTGAGCTATTGAGCTTGGAATAATGATGGCGTTTTCACTGCAGGTTTGGGAACCGAATCTTTGGGCCCATCTGGAACAGAGACAGCGTTGCCTGTGTCGTGCTCACCTTTAAAGAACCCTTTGGCACACAAGGACGAGGAGGTTACTTTGATGATTTTGGCATCATTAGGTGAATGAATGGAAAACAAACTCCAATTCAGAAATATTGTCTTCCTTTTGAGTGTCTGTTTTTTTGTCTTTTTAAATAGCATGTTTTTGGTTTGCACCGATAATCAAAATGTGAGAAATGGAATCTCAAGTCCTTCCTAGTTCACACAAACCTGGGCATTAGAGAGAATCTAGCATCTTTCATTATATCCATCTTAGAATAATCTTGATGCATTGTCAATTTTATAAAATATTACACAGAATATATAAATGAATGATAGGTAAACTTAAATATTGTCAGTGCCATTATTACTTTTTAGCATAATTAAGCCTTTCTTACTTTTTTATTAATAGTTTTGTTTTTTTTATACCAAAAATACTGATTTTGCTTGATTTTCATTAAAAAAAAAAATACTTTCCTGTCTCTTATTTTCCCAGTGTCTCTCTGCTTTCTCTTGTTGATAAGTTGCTCATTTATCTCTTAAAAATTAAGCTAAAAAAAAATATATGTTAAATTAAAATTGGGTGCTGCCAATGTTTTTATTTTATTTATTTTTTTCCCCCAATTAAGTAGATGCACTGAAATTAACCATAGCACTCCTATACTATTTTTAGTGTGAAGGATTATGCTTATTAAATAAAGAAGGAGAAGGATATCCGGGGAAATGTTCATAATTAGAAAACCTAAAATGAAGTTTTTCATTAAGGTGCTTCATAAGCATCTAGATTTAACAGTAAATGTATTCCAATAATCCTTTGCTCCACTGTGATGAAAGGCATAATTCTGTCTTTGATGTGACGAGCTGTTTGATCCCTTTGTCCCGATCAGAGATGTCATGCAGAACCACCTGCTCCAGATGCTGTGCTTGGTTGCCATGGAGAAACCAGCTTCCACCAGCTCTGATGATGTCAGGGATGAAAAGGTACTAAATTTGTCTGCTGCACACACAACCCCTCTACATTTAGCAGCTAAATCAAAAAACTTTCCTCTTCTAGGTGAAGGTGCTGAAGTGTATTTCTCCAGTGCCCATGTCAGATGTGGTGCTTGGTCAGTATGTGGGGAACCCTGATGGTGAAGGAGATGCTAAACTAAGTTATCTCGATGATCCCACTGTACCAAAAGGATCCACTCAGGCCACCTTTGCCACGGCTGTGCTCTATGTACAGAACGAACGCTGGGATGGTAAAGAGATTCGGCTCTTGAAAGTTTCAATAATGCAATATTTGAATGTTCTTTTCATGTAAAGCCTGTCAAATGTTCCTCCTCAGGCGTTCCTTTCGTCCTGCGCTGTGGTAAAGCTCTGAATGAGAGGAAAGCCGAGGTGCGGCTGCAGTTCACGGACGTCCCAGGAGATATCTTTGAAACCAAGTGTCAGAGGAATGAGCTGGTGGTGCGGGTGCAACCAAACGAGGCCATCTACGCCAAGATGATGAGCAAGAAACCTGGTGTTTACTTTAGCCCTGAAGAAACCGAGCTGGACCTTACTTACAAAAGCAGATACAAGGCAAGCTCATGTTGATTAGTTGTGCTGATTGAAAATCTTGCATAGTACCGCCCCCCACCAACACCACCTGCCTGCTACTTTTTTAAAAGATATTACATCTCTAATATATAATAATAGTCTAATATGTGTGTGGGTGTTTGTGTGTGGAAGTAAAACATATTCTTACATTTTTAGCCATGTAGAATCTGTGTTATAAAGGCCACATCAGAAATAATAGAGCTTCTGAGAAATCTGACTGAAGCCATGAGCGACATAAGTTCCACTTAGGCAGGAGGAATCCAGGACAGCTGGGAAACAGTTCTAGACATAAGCATGATTTTTAAATGTCGGTGGAAAAATGGTTCTTCTGTAAAAAAAAAAAAATAAATAGTGGAAGAGCTGAAAAGATGTGTGGAAGTCAATAACCCTAAAATCCTGACTTTGGTATATAGCTAATGTAAATTACTTTACTTCTAAATGAGACACTTTTTAACTTATTTAATGACAGTCTTACAATGTATGTCAGTATCATGTTAGCTGTATTATATCTTCATTTAAACTTTTTTTGGATCTTTTTTTTTTCTCAGGATGTGAAACTCCCAGATGCTTATGAACGACTCATCCTGGATGTGTTCTGTGGGAGTCAAATGCACTTTGTACGCAGGTCTGTTTCTGTTTCTTTCTGTTTGTTAAAGATTTTATCCTGCATTAGCTTCATTAGATGGTACAAAAGTGCACCCCCAGTCTACCTGATTAGTAAAAAAAGTTCAAGTAAAAGTAGAGAAAAGCTCTTCTTTTTCAATTGTTTTAACTTCTATTGTCGACATCTGCAGTGATGAACTGAGAGAAGCATGGAGGATCTTCACCCCTCTTCTTCATCAGATAGATAAAGAAAAGCCAAAGCCTATACCATATAAATATGGAAGGTAAAAAAAATGCTAATTCTGCCTTCACAAAAAGAAAAATTGTTTTTCCTTATGAACCCAATTTTTAACTATTGTTTTTTTCCCTTCCCAGTCGGGGCCCTTCAGAAGCAGATGACCTAGTTCAGAAAGTTGGATTTCGCTATGAAGGCACTTACAAATGGGTCAACCCTCACAAACTTTGAATAGTAATGAGATGTGGGCTTAGGGGGGAGTAGAGGTAAAGTAGTAGGAGGGGTGCAGCAGAAAAAAGCCAGCGATCAGACATCTGAGGAATACGAGCGAGAAACAAATTCGAAACCATTTCTCAGGTATTATTATCCTTCTTTGGAACATTAACAATTATTTGGATGAGGATTACGAGTTAATGCCACAGCTGTGGTTGATGCTTTTTTATACACACTGCAAAATCTAAAGTATTACTTTATGGAGAACAAAGAAATGAAAGCTGAATACGTTGCATTCCTGTTTGTGAGGATTTTTGACTGAATAGTAAAAGAGAGAAACGCACAGCAGGATGATGAGCGGGTTTAAAAACGGGATCATAACAGGAGACAGAACAACATGTACACCAGCTGTCAGTCCTTCACTCTTTATAATACTTTATATAAAAGTCTTATTATGCTTGCACTGCATTGATAGAAAGACATAGGATTATTTTTTAGCTTTTTTTGCTTTTGCTGTCTGGGACCAAGGATATTGAAGGTGTGGAGGATCAATACGAAGTTAGCAGAAGGCTTAACTTTTGTCCCGAATACAAGCTGGGCTTCCACTAGCCTAATTCCAAGCTTTATTCCAATTTGTGTTTACATTTTTGTTTTTTATAATGTATTCATTCCATATTTCAACATATCCAGGAAGCAGGTATGCTGGCTTCCAATCAGCTGAATGTTATTCTGAATGCCGCTGCTTGCTTAATGTTAAAGTAGCTACACCTCCATTAAAATAAACTAGTTTTGCTTCTATTGATGTCTTGTTTCTTAATATTTCAAACCAAATATGACTGAATGAACCTCAGATGCTGTCGCTGAATGAACATTTTTTAGGAGTGTTCATAACCTGTTAACAAAAACGTAAAAAACAACAATCTTACATTTAGTCTGCAAGAGGAAATCTGCTGTTGAGTTGTCTTTAACACACCAAAACTGAGGACATTTTTGTGAATGACTCAGCATTAAGAAAGGCCACTTTGGTCTATAAAATGTTCAGTTACTTGGATGTTTCCAATCATTTACATTTTAAAACCTTATTCAAAACTAATTTTAAGGAGTATTTTTTTTTTACTTTGGGGCAGCTGGACTACCATCTGATCTTCAGAATTGAAATATCACTTGAATAGAACTTATCTGAAAAAATGTTAGCAAAGTTGTTGGCAGTTCATTGTCTGAGCATAATTATGGAATAATTTCTAAAACTTTGAGACTCTGATAAACAAACAGAACCAGTGTTGAAGACCATAGAAGAGAAGTGAACTTCTCATTAGAAGAATTTCTACTAAAATTGCTCCAAAATCACCAGCAACTCATTCGGGATCACACAACATATCTAAAATGTCTACCTTTCAGCCTTGACACACCAAATCCAATTTTGCGTCTGATCCGACAGGAAATCGTGTCATACGAGGTCGTGGGGTTTGGCGCTCTTTGAGATTGAGTGGGAATGATCACACCCGACACGATTTTCTGCAGAGGGCTTTCATAGCTCTCACTGAGATAGACCCCAGGTCTAATTTAGTCAGACTATGCAGCAATTCACCTGCAATTTAATGGGTCAGGCAGGAAGAGAGACAGGGTTAGAAAGTAAAACACATCTGCCTTGGGGTTGAAAATACTAAATAAAATCTGGCAATCGCACAGGAAAAAACACTCAGGTTTGGAATCACACAGCAGAGATAGTGTGGCAGACTCGTGCATAAACAGTCAATCAAAAAATTTTACAAAACAGAATACTCTATCCATGATAGGAGTTTAGGACAGAAAACTGAAGGTACGGATCCTCTTTGAACTCCGCAAAAACAAGGAACAGTACAGAACAGCGCAGCTCATCTCTTGTGTGTCACACTTGCCAAAACACATTTGGAAACAGTCTTATTACATCTGCCTTAAAAAGGAACAGGACAAAAAATTCCAACAAAGATGGCCTAAGAGCTGCATGACTTCCTATAGTTGAAAGAACCATTAAATAATTTCTCTCGGAAAATCCTAAAGAATATTTCATTAGTTTGTACCTTGGACTCAAGCACTCATTAGTTATGGAGCATTGTTTAGTGCTCTGCAGAATGGCTGTGGGAAGTGGGGGTGCTGCAGCACCCCCTAGTGGCGATAGGGAGATTTTGTTTTTTAAGATGTATTAAAAATACTTTGCACAATTTATAAATTTCCTATGAATATTTTGGGAAATGATTTAGACTTTTTTTTTTTTTACTATTACGTGTATTTGTATTTTTGATTTAAGGTCTAATCAACAACCTCATGGAAGTTACGTTGTTATGGCAAAGTCAAGCAAGCTAGTGGTCGCTGAGTAAAGAGGTATCCAGCTCGCGGCAGCAGACTAGTAAATTCCTTAGTCTAATGACAGAAATGAGGAAATATTGCACAGAAATGCATTTCAGATTTTTTTTGGAAAACAACCACCAGTGAAGAATACTAGTACTGCAACCACGACAACAGAGAGTAGTCTGAGTGAGGAGACTGTGTCTGTCTCTGATTAGAGTGAAGTTTAATTAATAGCGCACACATTCACCTGAGAACTGATGATGTCTGTGTGCTGCAGTCCATGGTTACATGCACTGAATTGTATATGACAGTGAAGTAGTGAATCTCTATCTATTTATTTTCATTTATTTTATTTTAAATAGGCCTATAGGCTCATAAATGTTTTGTGCAAAGAAAAGAAAAACATTTTCACAGCACACCCTGTTCAAAATTACTTTCAGCAGCCCTGCTCTGCACTGCTGTGATGTTTTAACATATTTAATATTACAAACAAGTTTAGTCAGGATTGCAGTAAGCAATGGCGTAGTGGGTGGATGTTAAAATGACAATTCCATACAGCTTTTATTTAGAAAAAAAAAAAAGAATCCCTCATGAATCTAAAAACTATAGTTATAGACCCTTTAAATTTGGCTTCTGACATAAAAAGTATTTCACCTAAATTACAGAAACATGTTTATTCTCTGCTTTAAATTAAAAAGGTTTTCGAGGAGTTTCTAGCTCACCTTTCCATTTTTCACTAAGAAAGGCCAGCGCTGTAGTATAAGGCACATTAGCTCTGGATTTAAAACATCCTTCATTCACAGTACATAAGGGTTATGTTACAAACATAAAAATCAGAGTGAGGTATTGCAATTAAAATAATCATTGTGGTTCACTGGATGGAAACATTAGTGCTGTAGAATAATATCACAAATGTGTTGCTACTAACAGCTGATTCATTATATATTAGCATATAAAGACATTTTTCACATTTTTAAAGATGTCATAAAAAGTGGACTTGAGTCTTAAATCTTTAAAATGGAAAACCATAAATTCTGATTAGGATCAAATGTACAAAAAAAGAAACAGTTGTTGGACCACTATGATGGGACAGAAGTTATCCTTCATGTTGTACTACACAACTGGAAATGGGATGAAATCCCTTAATGTTATGTCTCAAATAGACCTTGTAATACTTGTGCAGCTTCAACATGCAATCTGAGTGAGGTCAACATGTCGGTCTTCAACCATGAATGATGAGTCACTCCTCACAGGTTTAAACAGTGGTTGTGTTCCTGTTGAGGAGGAACCCTGCAAGTTCCACCTTCTCACATGTGCTCTGGGTGGTTCTGCAAGCAGCTGATGAACTCTGAGACAGGATGGCTCTGGAAGCAGATCTGATACACGGCGTTGAACAGAGGGAACCTGTCAAAGAACGTAGGCTTTTAGCGTTGATCTTTTCTGAGCTGATTGCAGACCAGCGGTACAGATGCTTAAGTCACTGCACTTCTTCACTTACTTATCAACCAGGTTTTTGTGCTTGAGGATGAGATAAACTTCAGCAGCTGTCGCAGGTCCCTGCAGCTTCTGCCCGTTCAGCATCTCTTTTTCCAGTTCCTCGATGGACTGGAAAGAAATACATAAATATGCAAAAGGAAATGTTTAAAAAGAGCAGTAAAACCGTAATGCTACCATCTACATTGGTCAATATGAAATACAGTGTCAACTACAGGTATCTCATTGCATTTATATTTTATCAAAAAGTAATGAAACACAAGTAAAATTAATCATACAAAGACTGACTTTAAATTATTTCTGTTGAAATGGATTATTATGACACATAATGAAAGTAAACTACCAAGTATTTTTATTAGAATTTACATATATATAATTAATAAAATCATATTTTGTACATTGGATGCATTTTTTAAATTTAACTGCTGTACCAGGTACAGTCATGTTTATATTGCTATTTTTTTTACTTTCTCTCTTTTACTATGACTCTTTTCAAGGCTGCACTTTAAAAAATGAAATTTGTTTTTGTATACACTTGTGTATACAAAATGACAAAATAAATCTAAGTCTGTGTACTTAAAAGTATAGCGGAGGATTTTTGCGAATTTTTGAAAAGACCCGTCTACTCCACCAGGGACATTTTTTTTTATTTTATTGAAAATGCTTTGCACAATTTCTACATTTCCTATGAATATTTTGGGAAACGATTTAGACCTTTTCATTTTACTTTTACGTGTATTCGGATTTTAATTTCATTATTTTGAGGCCTAATTAACACAAGTTCACGGAAGTTACGTTGTCATGGCAACGTCAAGCAAGCTAGTGGTTGCTGAGTAAAGAGCTATCCCGCTCGTGGCACCAGACTAGTAAATTTACATAGTCTAATGACAGAAACCAGGAGGGAATATGGCAGGGAAATGCATTTCGTATTTTTTTGGAAAACCACCACCAGTGAAGAAGAATACTAGTACCACAATAAAGTTAAATGAATAGCACATATATTCACTTGAGAAGGATGTCTGTGTGTGTTACACCCTCTCCACTTGCACATAAGACACGATTTACAAATGCACATGCACAACCCTGTACCCACTCCTGCGTGCAAGAGCGTGCACGAGCCCATTTCTCCTCGTGCACGCTCTGTTTAAAAGTTGCTGTTTGCATCGCTCATACAAGCTTACTTTCCAAAAGAAGATTTGCAATTTTTCCACTATGTCAGACTCACCACCGGTAAGTGGAAATGGGGACGAGCACGCAGGACGGCCTTACGTAAATATATCACCAGGATGATTGACAATTAGGAGGACCGCTTATTTTGATGATCCACCCGGAAAAAGAACATCCTCTACTATACCTTTAACACTTCGTTGGGCCTTTTGTTATAAAAAGGAGTGCATTAATGCAGCATGGAAGGGAGGGGTTCAGCCTGTAGCTCTGACATAGAAAACTCCCACAGTTGGATGCACAAACAAATGGGAACAGAAGTCAATAAAGTATGTATTGATAGCTTTGGCTATGTGTGCTGCTGGAAGATGAAATCTGCATCTCCATAAAAATCATTTTGTGGTAGATCTACTGGAGACTTTCTAAAACAGAGTGAAGTCTAGAAACTTTATGATGGAGCTAAGCCAACTTGAATTATGTTTTTCTCCACTATCCTCCAGACAACAGGAACTTGATGTCCAAAATGTATTGTCATCTGAAAAAAGGACTTTAGAGCACTGAGCAACAGTCCAGTCTCCCCCCCCCCCCAAACCAGTTAGGGTTAACCTTGCGCTGCAAGCTAGATTGTGATGAGATCCGAGTTTTCAGTCTCAAAACAAATCCATATCGAAAGACTCCAGCGAATACATCCGTCTCATAAATACCAGCGAGTCGGACCAACGACATGCCAGTAGTGTTTTCTGGAATGAGAACAGTCAGAAGGGGCTATCCAGGGCATTACAAACATGGCTACGGTGGACGACAAACCTGTCTATACTGCAATTGAAGAGAAGCACTTTGTGCATTTGTAGATGGAAAAGATGTCTGTGCTTTTCTTCCGACAGGATTTGGAAAAAGTTTGATTTATCAGCTTACTCCAGTAATTGTGAAAACACTCAAAAAGCTGCACGATTTGCTGCTACGATTGGCTCAAAGTGTATTATGGAAAGTGGGTACTAGCTGGCACATCACCCTATCAGCTCAAAGTATTTTATTAAACATCCCTCTTTTTCAAGGACAGACTGAACGTCAGCCATCCCAGATTGATAACGTAGTACTCAACTCAGTTCTAAACCTATTAATATGGCTACTGCCAGGTTAAGTTAGGGTGCTTCGGGATAGGAATTTTATGAAGAACATGTTAATGGAAAAAAGATAAAAATATGACTAAATAAATGCAGATTAAGACAAGACAAACTACAAGTTTCTGTATTTGTGCTGTGTAAATGTTTACGATTAAAAGCACCAGGTCTATGAACCTTCTTAAAATACCACTTTCTTCTAAATGAAAGTTTTTCTATGAAAAAAAATCAAACAAATAAAAAGTTAATGCTCTCACTTTTCCTGTTTTGACAAAAGCCTCAGCAACTTTGCGATTGCGTCCTCCGTAGCAAGTTGTGATGAGATCAGCCACCCCGCAGCTCTCCAGGAAGGTTGCAGAGGAAACGGGCCCAACTTTGCAGAAAATCCTTGCGAAAGCAATCATCTCCATCAGGCCCAGTCTGATCACTGCTGCCTTGGTGTTGTCCCCGAAGCCCAGACCGTCGCAGAAACCTGCCCCTACTGCAACAATGTTCTGCACACGAAAGAAGGGAGAGGACGTAAGCAAACACAGTGGGTGGAAGAAGAAAAGCAGGAGACACAACTGCAAACTTTGCAGACTATCAGTAGAATTAATGAAATTCGACTAATCCATCCCATCAGTGAATGAACAAACTCCATCATCTTTCTCATTAAATCTGAAGCGTTAATCACATCCCTTTATTCCTCTGAGCTTTTTATAGATTATAAACTCGGTCTGGCTAAATTGGTTTCTCCTCCCTTTTATCCACACACACCTTCTCCAACAAAGACATACATTCATGGTAGGCCACTATAGAAACAATAAAAAAAATAGAAAATATTTTTATTATGTGACTATATAAAACAAAATCTATTACTAGATTTATACATGTTTTTCTCATATATTTTCTGATTTAGGGCCCTGTCACACCTTGCCGATTTAACCAGCAAATGCCTGACATTCCAGAATCTCCTAAAACGCAGGCATACACTGAACTTTCTGTGGATTTCTTTAAATTCTTGACATATACATAGCATATTCATAACAAGTCTAGAACTTATGTCCAACGACAGCCAAACTTATGCATAACGAACAGCAGCGTAATGCTTATGCAATGATGCACAAGCACCATTGCATAGGCTTTACAAAGCATCAGTTAACGCTGCTCCCCTCAGGTGCCCGGTCCACATAAAAAGATGTAATTGACCGTGGTATTAACCTAGCTACTGTTTGCCACCTGCCCCCAAAAAAGAATAAATAAAAAGAAGATTCAGCGTCACGTCTGCTAGGTTTGTTGGTCGTGGTCATGAACGCAGGGAGGATCCATCACATTCAACTTCGTGCTCATCCTATGATGGGGATAAAGTCTGGAGGAATACTGACGGTTTCCTCCTGTGAACCCCCTTTCATACCAAAATGCTGCCAATATGCCAATAAATGGAAGCTGTAAGTTAGAAACACGTTCAGTGGTCGTCTGGAAGACGTCAGGTACGTTGATATGTGTTGGAGAAAAGTTCTTGATAAGTTATGTGCAAGGTACTCATAGGTTTTGGATAAGCTAGACGAGACGACTTTTGAGTAACTCTTCTGGTCTCCTTATTTTCATGGAATTTGAAGGACCCAGTCCAAGTTGACCGAGTCCTTGTAAGACGTAGCCCAAGAATTCGAACACACTCATTTTACTGTCAAAGAACACAAGATGTTTTTAATATAGTCTGTTCGAAAAGACATTTGTTTTTTTGTGCAATTGCGTCGCTAAACGACAATACAAAATACAATTTTCCCTCCATCTGTAATACACCTAATTTACTAAGTAAAATATATCGCCCCCCTATTTCATTGCAGGCACTTTGAGTCATTACCAAGGCTTTTGAAAGCCCTCTGTGTGTCAACAAAGGTTGGAGGTTTTTTGAGGACCCAAATGAAGAGAGGATGAGGTAGAGGTGTGTTTTGATGACTTAATGAAAATAGGTAACAGAAACAAAATCCAAGAACTAAAAACCAGGATACATCAGGGGATAACACACATGCAAAGAGTAAATGAACAGGTGGTGTATATATGGGAGACAGAAACAATGGGAGTACTAATTAGCTGATGGGGAGAGGGTGTAGAAAGAAGTAACTAGAAGGAGAAAAGGGAAAGGAGACTGGCACAAGGGGGCAACAGAGAGCAACTCAAAAAATACAAGACTGCATAAATATAACATAAATGAAAAAAGAAACAAATAAACAAGAAAACACAGAATAACATAAATCAAAGTGGAACTGAAAACTCAAACAGGAGTCCACAAGGGGAGAACCATAACACTGTGTTTTTTGATTTTCAAGAGTAATTTCACTTTTACTGAGTCACAACTTTATAGATAAAAAAGTCCTGATCTGATGGGGTGGGCGACTTTTATAGACTTTGATAGAAATCAGAAGACATACAGATTGCTCAAAAAAACCCTTGCCTCTGTAAAACAAATGCAGGACTTTTGATGGAAAAGTGAGGTTTTTGATTGTAATGGGCTAAAAAATTGAAAATCCTTTTGGAAGATGCCATAACTACTTTCTACCAAATGTAACAGAATAAATGAAGATGGTTAATTTGCATGAAATTCATATAAAACCTGGATACCTAAGTTTGACCCAGCATGTTGTTCTAAGAGCTCACCTTCAGAGCTCCACAAATTTCCACCACATCGTACTCTTCGACTACAGTCACTCTGAAGTTACTGGTCTGCATGAGTTCTTTCAGAAGAGTCCCGTGGTTTTTATTCTTACATCCTGCAAAACAAAAATGAAATGGCTGGCTATGCTGAAACGTCATAACACAAACTAAATTTGCAAGGTCTAACTAAATACTCATGCATTAAAAAATGTTTGATGTCAGTAAATCCTTTTAGAATTCTTTACAGACAATATGTAAAATAAATAAAAATAAAATAATTGATTGATAACACACAGTGAGGCCTCCGGGGTGTCAGGCTCACCAATAGTGGTCTCACAGAACTTCTCATCTGCAACTTCGTTAGCAATGTTGGCTCCCATCAGCACGCTCATTGTGATACCGAGCTTCTCCTGGATTACATCAGAGATGAGTTTAAGTCCATCAGGCCCCTCATCTACACCCTGGGGAAGGCAAAAGAGTGAAAGAGTCGTGTCTGGGTCAATGATCGCATTGCACAACCACAGACCACATCAAAGTGGCATGACAAAGCCAGAGGTCTGAGATGAAAGAGTGAAACATTGACATATGATCATAAAGTCTGTGCATGGAGAGCAAAGTCTGACCTTAATGAGGGATATTCCGAGCGCGTCGCTTTTAACCTTGCCCTTTAATGTGTCACACACTTTGCCGACGAACTGGTGCGGGATCACAAACACCAGAATGTCTGCATCCCTGGATGCCTCCACCAGGTCTGGAACCGCCAGCTGAGGCAGGGGAGGATGTGGTTGCAAAAAAGGAACAATTAGCATTAAAAAGTCTGCTGCATGAAATAAATCCTGAAGAAGAATTATAGAACTGTGATAACCAGACCAGGGATCTTTTGGGGTTTAATTATAATCTAAATAAGGAGTCTTTCAACCTACATCAAGCACATCCATGTTATCTAACTTTAGTGCATGATACATCTAACATAAAACATTAATAAAAGTACAATAATATTAGTCACCATGTATAACAAAGTGGGGAGTATTGGAAAACATGAAATTGCAAAAAACTATTGGTAACGACTGCATTGTAAGATTGAATGTGACTAACCTAGATATTGCTGTTTCTTTTCCTTATTTTTCTATCCTTAAAATGCTTCCAAAATTTTTATGAGTTTTCGCATCTCAAGCACTAAAACATGCAGTTTGCAAAAACAGCAAATGGAATGCATTGGACTTCCCCAATGTAGCCACCACACAGAAACGAAATTCAATTCAGTTTATTTATATAGCGCAAATTCACAACACATGTCATCTAGAGGAACTTTACAGAGACAATTCAACCAGATCATACAGTCAGATTGGTTCAAAGTTTTCTGTCTAAGGAAAACCAGTTGATTGCTTCGACTATTTGACTCAATAGCAATTCCTCACACTGAGTGTGCTAGTAGCGACAGATAAGCACTTTGTTCCTGTAGTTTTGACTGGTCTGACATCATCCATTCTTAGTTCCTGTAGTAGGGACTGGTCTGACATCATTCATACTTAGTTCCTGTAGTAGGGACTGGTCTGACATCATTCATACTTAGGCCCCGTCCACACGAAGCCGAACCCTGGCCTAAACGCACAAATTTTTTACCAAACCAGCCTCTCATCCATACGAAGCCGGCGTTTCGGGGTCTGTAAACGATCTTTTTTTAATTCAGCCTTCAGAGTGGGAAGATTTTGAAAC